CATTCTTTTAATGACGATCCTTCCGTATCACCTAGTCATACAAAAACTGTCCGAGCATATATGTTGCAAGTATATCTATGAGCGAAGCAAACATGCTTGCTGGACGCATGTCTTGAGATACTTGCGTCATCATGTCCCACTGAGTCTTTTCTATGATGCACGAGAAGATTGACTTCCAGCGCACTGACCTAATGTGTCCAGGGAAGTTTCATGTTGTTGCCTAATGAGTCATCACCAGGGTGTAAGATAGACAGGTGGGGAAACGGCCCATAGAAACCTACCGCAGCGCCGTGACCGGATTGTGTACTCGTCTGCTTGCGGGTGGCTTGCGGGTACCCCCGATTTGCGACAGATGGCGCTGTGGCGAGAAGAAAAAGCTACCGCCCGATCCAAAGGGCTCAGCCGTATTCATCCATCCATCCCTCCAAAAAATTGGAATCGAATTTGCATGGAACTTTATGGGAGGGTGTGCAAAATAAACTGAGAGCAGGACAGTCCTCCATTGAAAATCCACGAGAAACCTTCTCCATCAGTTTAACCGGTCGCCAGCGTACGCCCACCTGGAGTGAGAGTTCGCGGTGCTCCACATAGATGGCGCCACAGAAAAAGAGAAAACCGAGGAGGACACAATCCGGTCGCTCATTTGGCTCTCGTTTCACCACCTGTCTATCTTACACCCTGGTCATCACCTTTATCACGGATGACTCCATCTCTCCTTCGGATATCATCTCTTATGCCCGAGTACGAACAGAAACAACGGACACCGACATGCTTCAAACACGTGCATGCATGCACGCGAACGTGTAGTTTGGCAGTGTACATGTAAAAGTTAGCGAACAACGTGAGGAAACTGTAGAAGAATGCAAGTTTCCTCACGTTGTTCGCAGACTTTAACCATGTATAACAGTATAATGCTTACCGACTAGCCCAGCTCACCTAGCTCACCCCCCTCCTATGGTTTGGCAGACTTGCAATCACTCGTGTTTATCTTCCCGAGCACGGGAAGTCTGCTGCCACAGGTACCATCGCGTGCATGCTGCACGTGTATATGAAGCTCGTCGCGTATCCATTGTTTCTGTTTATCGCTCTAGTGGGACTCGGGCATCGTTGTTTCTTATCTATGACAGATACACACTCCTGTTTCTGAGGTCCTCCACATACACGACTTGCTTGTGACGTCATCACGTCGTGCTGGTTGTCATCTCTGTTTTCTCGTGTCGAGAAAAGTAATGCTGATGAAGAAAAATGTGTGCTGCACGACGTACGCGCTCAGCAGCAAGGCTATCCCCATGGCAGGCGATGTGTGGTCAATGAAAACCAAATACAGAACGCCAACCAAAAAAATAAAAATTAAAATTAATAAATAAATAAACAATTACAGTTTTTTTGTTTTGTTTTTTTAACGTAAAAATTAAAACTACGTATCGCCGAAAGCTCATTCTCCCCTGAGGCTGAGGACTCGTACATATTGGAATGACGTATACTCCGTTTCATTTCAAGAGCGTCGAAGAAGCTACAAGAGCGAACTGCGGGCTTTGAGCGTCCCTTCGGCCTCGCTCGGGCTTGGAGTGACGCGGGAAGATAAATCGGATTCTAAACCCTGAGACACGGGGCTGCAATGAAAGTGCGTGGGATAGCCAATCACTGCAATCTAAGATGATGGGGCTGTTCACGTATTTAGACTCGAATGAACCGTGTGCGTTCATTGTCACACCTGGTAGGAGGTAAGCACCTCCTTCATGCTCGGTGTCCCAGTGCAAATTGTGTGCGTGTCCCAGTGCAAAGTGCGTGTGCGTGTGCGTGCGAGTGTGTGTGTTTTGTAATCTAAGCATATTTTTAACCTCGTCCTCGTCCAGCTCTCGCCGTATAGACTGCAGTGATTGGCTTTCGCTTCTCAACGTTCTTATCACCTAATGCCGCAAGCTGATTGGCTGCGAAGCTATAAGAAGGTGCTCGGGGGCTCGCCACGCCCTTCCGTTTATGAGATGGATGCTGAACCAAACATTCCAGTGTTTATAACAAGTGGCGCACGATCTTTCCACGAGCCAGCAGCCATCGGTGTGCGCGAGCACACGCAACGAAATTGACGTCATAGTCCCAAATTCACGCTTAATTAAGATGGCAGTGAAATGTGTGGGCTCCGGGAAAGTGGAGAATAAAGACAAGTATTTCATCTCCACAGTGGGGTCTGGTGTAAAAGGTAAGCGATGAATTGGTCTAACAAGCACGTAGCTTTCACTTGTGCAGGTGAAAAGCCTGTCTTTATTGTCCCCTCTGAGCCGAAGCCCATACATTTCACTGCCATCTTAAGTATGAATAAAGGACTATGACGACAATTACGCTGCGTGTGCTCGCACACACCGCTAGGCTGCTGGCTCGTAGAAAGAACGTGCGCCACTTATTATGGACGCTGGAGTGTTTGGTTCGGTATCCCTTCCAGTAACTAAAGTCGCGAAAAAAAGAAAAGAAACCAACAGTTTGGAATTGCGATGACTGAGCGGCACACGGGTATACGCTTGGACCCTCGTCCGGCTGGCTACTCTGCACAGGGGAAGGGAATGAATGGATCAAAGATTGGACCGCGGAGTGATACGAGTTGGAAAAGAAAGCGACGCGGAAGGACGGGACAATAGAATGACCGCTCGAGAAATGCAACCACGCTTCTTGCTCACCATGATTCGCAATTCTGGCGTTGTTATCAGCCACTGCCGCAATCGCATCTGCCGCGTTGACATAATATACGATGCTCGGGGACACACACGACGCCGTGATCCGCATTTCCTGAGCTGCCACTGGCTACACTCTCAGAACAAAAGGGTGCAGTTTTACACCCATTTGTCCCATATAATGCACTCCAAAACTAAAATTCGTCGTACAGCGCACTGCAGTTGCACTGACGTACCTACTTTTACGAGGGGCTTGATAATCGTTCCATATAACCTATTAAAGAGCTAAAGTACGTGTCAAAGACCAAAAAAGAAATAATAATAAACAGCGAGGTTTCGCGGTCGGACCAAAAAATCCCCATTTTTGTTTTGTAGAAACCAACACGTGAGTCAGCTATTTCAATAGGTTGTACCTCACGACTCTCAAGCCCTTCGTGATAGTTCATACCTTCGATTCGACGTCAGTGCGCTGTACGTAGGACTGCGTTTCGGGGGTGTATTCTATGAGACTGGGAGTGTAGTACGTACACCTTTTGGCATACAGGAATACTAAGAGCTGCATAGAGAACTCTACGCTCGGTGTATATGCAAGTTCCTTCTTGGAACGAGCACACGCAACCACCGCAAAATAAAACCTAGACACGCGGAAAACGAACAGCGCAAGGACAAGGACAGAGTAGAAGGCGGTAGACACACACAGCGCTGAAGCCAGCACCCGGCAACGGCATACAGCACCAGCAATTATAGCCATTGGGCCCTATTCAGTGTTTATCCGTGGACTCGAGTGTCCTGGTGGCATAACTGCTGGTGCTGTATGCCGTTCCCGGGTGCTGGCTTCAGCGCTGTGTGTGTCTACCGCCTTCTACTCTGTCCTTGTCCTTGCGCTGTTCGTTTTCCGCTAATATGAAGGACCAACTAGCCCAATCGTCAAAACCTAGACACGCGATGAAACCACCTCCCTCTACAATTTCGCGAACAGTGACAAATTAAAGATGAATCCTTCCACACATTTTTAAATGTGAGCGGATAGCAGTCGAGGTCTTTGTTTTATCCTACAACGAAATCACGTAAAAAAAGAAAAAAGAAAAGCTGGCAGCAACGGCAGTTCTCACGAGGATGTGCTCGTCGGGTTTCCGCAGAGAGCATATCATCTTCACGGCAAACGAGGACATCCCACGTACGCGCCAGCTTTCCGTGTCCCGACCGAAAAATTCTTAGGTCAGAGTCACGTTGTTCGTACGACACACGAGAGGCATGACGGCATTCGCTGTAAACATAATGGCGGAATTACCTGCGCACACGCCTCCGCTATCTTCGAAGCACCTTTACCTCATACATATTTTGCATGCACGATCAATGTGAAAGGACTGTCATGGAAAGAAGACATAGGCCTCAGACAGTCGTTGTTATTTTCTTTTTTTACGATGTGTTAGCAGTGTGATCATAGGGAAAGGTGAACATCCGATGTGGACCTCGTTCATTGGAATGTTGACATCTCGTCGTCAACGTTTACCGGCGAGCCTTGTTATGCGGTGCTCAAACCCGGGCAAACACCTTGAGGAAGCGGCTGATACGGTTGGTACACCTCCTTCGCCGTGAGACTTGAGTGTAACGAGGTTTCCAATATTAAAAAAGAAGAACTTTATGATTTTTCTGCAGAAACCAACAGAGCCACCCGAATATCGCGTTCGTGGACGCCGCTACTCTCACTACGGGTTCCGGCTAATTTTGAGAGCGCTGCCAGCAGAGTTTCCCGTAAAGCGGATGTATAAGGCTCAAATACGAACACAGAAACTAGACATATGGGTTACGCAAGTAAAGTCTTCCACCGAGAAGCGGACACGATGGAAATCGCGAAACCTTCACCTGCGGATTCCCTCGACCAGACGACGAATCCCCACGTCGTGAGCTTCCCTTAGAAGCGTTTCCCAATGTTTAGTCAACATCGGTGCAAACGCAACCCCTCAACCAGGGCCAAGGCACGAAGCCAGCACTGCATTTCAATCGTGCGATACTTGTTAGTTTTTGGTACTTTACCCAAATGTGCCGTTACATCCGCCCCCCATCCTCCCCCTCTCATCCCGAACGCAATTCGGAAAAAAACTCAGAGCCAGCCTCTGCCCACAGATAACATAACTACGCACGCGCGTGCGACCTAGCGTTAGCCCCAGCGAGATCCACGAGCATTCGGAGACTTCAGAAATAGAAAACTCTCGTTAGCTGGCCGCTTTCATCGCGGAGAAATGCCCCAAAACGCCGCGCACTCTTTCGCGGACGCCTCGGCTCGCGCGGAGGCAGGACGCGACCGGAGGGGTGTGAGGCGGCGAGGTTCTCGCCTTCCCAAGATGCACCGGGGCGCCCGTCCCGCATTTCCACCCGTGCGTCGGAGGAGCGCGCGTCGTCGCGAGGTCGTCGTCGCTTGTGTGTTGCCGCCTCCGCCGACGGCCGCCGTTCGAGGCGGGCTGCGACGATGAAGTGTGTGCGAGCAGGGGCTTTGTGATCGCGGCGGTGACCGTCGTGGGTGGTTGACGCCGTCCGGGACGTGCGAACGGCGCCGACGCGGCCGCTGGTGCCCAATGTTGTGCTGGAAGAGGACCGTCGTCGTGCCGCTGCTGGCGTCGCGGGCACTCTACACCTGAGGATTAAGTGTTCGTGGACCCGTCAGCGGCCCCAACATGACACGCCAGCGGAGGGAACATGACAGAAGCTAGCTTTCACGAGTGAGTACTCCGTCTGAGAAAAAAAAACTTCCCTTCTCCCATCAAAAAAAAAAAAAAAAAAAACGAAAAGGGAGGAACTCCGAAATCTCGCGCTTAGCCGACTACCACCGTTTTTTTTGTTTTTTTTACCTCGTTTCCTTTTGGACGACGGACAGCCCTCTTTTTGAGTCTCTTTTATTGGCTATTTTTTTTCTTTATTATTTATCCTTCTCTCTTATCTTGTCGAGTCGACCGGAAACGGCCTTTTCTCGCAGTCCGTCTCATTATCGTAAGTTTTCTAAAGAAGAAAAAAAAAAAGTCTTCACGAGCTCCAACGACACGCCGAAACACACACGAAACGGGCGCGGCGTGAGAAACGGCGCGGACGGTCCTCCTTTATTCTTTTCCCCCCCAAAAGCCGCCGCTCGCGCTCGTTCTTCGATCGCATCCACAGACACACGCACGGGGAGTTGTGTTAGGCCTAGCGACCGCCCGATCTCGACGCTTTCGCGTTCGTCGCCGCCCGTCCCCGACTTCACCCTCGTTCTTTTGGGAAGACTCTGAAACCCCGGGCTTCGTGTCCGGCTCTCGTTCGCGAGGCACCGAGGAGTCCGACGTGCGGGCGGGGCACCGAATTCGCCGTCGAGGAATGCCCTTCGAGAACGCCCGACGTACGTACTGCGTCGAGAACGAAGCAGGGGCAGCCGCGGTCCTCCCCACCAGCGACCGCCCCTCCTGTGTTTGGAATCGACGCCGTCGCGCGCGCGTCGGTTCCGTCGGCGCTTTTCCATGTGCGCCCACCGGACAGCCGTTTCTTCTTTTCTTATCGCTATTATTATTATTCCATTTTAATGCGTCCGCATTGTCCCCTCCTCGCGTACGCACGTGCGTGTGAATCTCGAGTCGTTTCCGGTGTGATGACCGTCGACCTCCTCCTCCTAAGCAAGCTCCCCAAGGAGGTTTTTTTTTATTATTATTTTTGTTTGTGCGCGTGTTTGTAGGCAGCATTCTGCGCGTAGGGTAGTAGCTGCGTCGTCCGAGCTCGTGTGAAAAATAACACGAAAGATTATCTCTCGAGTCTTTTCGTACGCGCCGAGACTCCTCAAGTGTTTGATCCAAGTTTCTTACGTCTGTTTCACGTTTTTGTTTTGTTTGCCTGTTCGTTTGATCTTGAGCGTGTCTCTCATCCTTTGTGTGAGCGAATGCTCCTGTGTAGGTATTCGCTTTTCTAATGTTTCTTTTTGTATTTAACGTTTTTTTCGTTAACGTGTTTCTCTTTGATGCTGCATGACAAAACGCTACGTTGATATTACTATTTGCTATGTCATGTGACCCTAAAATATTTTGTAGATGCTTCGATTTTTCGCGCGCTCTGGCGCTAATCTTTTTTTTTTTTTTTTTAATCTTGTTGGCGAAGTTCTATTTATAATATTTAAAGACGAATTATATGAAAGCGAAGTGGACGGTATCACTTCTCCTTGTGACCACAAATAATAATGTTTTTTTTTTTTTTTTTAATGCTTGAACCGCGAGACTATTTTCGGTCTCTATGGTAAATATCTCGCTCTAAAACGGGCTGTAAAAATCGGCACCTGCACGTAGCAATCGAAACCTTTCGTCAAAGGTGTATTTCACAGGTCGGTTTTTAAATGTAAAATTCGAAAGCGTAGGGCCCTCTTCTGTAAAACAAGACTAGGGCAAAACAAACTCGCCAGGGTCAACTGCGGACGGCGACGCAGACGACCGAGTGGAGTGGCAGGGCGCGTTTGGCACACGCATTGATAGATGGCGTCGGCAGCAGCGACGGAAGATGGGGCCAACCAGAGAAAGAAATCGGATGACACGCAGGTGAAATCTGTCGGCAACAAAAACGCCGTCGTAGTGCAACGGCGTTTTTTTTTTTTTTTTTTTTTTTTTTTTTTAATTTCAGGTTTTTGTACATTGCAAGAAAAAAATATATATATAACTTGATTTTAGTGCACCGGATGTAGCGCCATCTATCAGTACTTGCGCCAAACGCGCCCCCCACTCGACTTCGTCGTCTGCTTCGCGGCCCGCCGATGACCTTGGCAAGTTTTTTGCCCATTTTTTACAGAAAGAGGCTACGCTTTGTAATTTTACATGAAAAACCGACCTGAAAAAATACACTTCTGACGAAAAGCGTAGATTGCTACGTTCAGGCGCCGATTTTTAAGGCCCATTTTCGATCGATCCTGTTTTGTTTTTTGTCACCCTACAATTGTCACTAACTGTAGCAGTGGTACCCGGCTCTTGTGTCTATGCGTCTCTTCTCGGTAGTCCAAAAGTAGCCCCAGAAAAAGAAGCACGCACCACGTGCATAGGTTTCTCATCGATAAATATTCGTTTTGTAATACTTTTTTTTTTTCATCCGTTTTGGTGGGTGACAGCGTCAAAAGGGGCGACTTGCTCCAGATGAAACAGGTCCACGAACATTAATTGTTTCCGGTAAAGCAAACACACAGATTGCGGCTCGTTGTGTGTGTGTGTGTTATTCATTTTAGCTTACGATTCGATGCACCATTTCAAGAAACTCCAGGTTGATTTTGAAGACCGGAATGTCTTCAAAAACGAAACAACAACAAAAGTTGTCTTGGCGTTTGTCCAATTGATATTTCCGCCAAATTCGTTGGTTCGACCACATTATCACAATAGGTTGTCTCTTTTTCTGTTCATAATGTTTCCGTTTTGTACATGGTGTCAGTTTAGGCACGCGCGGGAAATGAGTTACGGAGTAAAAGCAAACGGTTCACGAACCACAAAATGGCGGCGGCTTGTCGTCTGCTTTCTTCATTCACGTCGTGCTCCTAGAATCAGCGGGAATGGACGGTGTGCGTAAAGTTGAGAGAGAGTGGGAGTGTGTGTGTGGCAGCCGTCAGCCTTGGGGTAGGGGCAGGAAAAAAAAATGCTAGGAGGCGGCTTTTGTGAGAGGGCGAGGAGGTGACGGCTGCCGTAGTAGTAAACGTCACGAACGATGGGATTGCCGCCGGCTGCTCGTCGCATGATCTGCCTCGTTCCGACTTCCGCTAGTTTCGCCGAGAACAAATAGCGCTGATGGCGGAAAAGTTTAATCGTTTCGCGATTTGAGGAGGCGGAAGAAAGGCTGGCGAAGCAGGGAATGAACGACGACGTGTGTGAGAAGGGCCGACAGTTGTGTGTCGTCTGCTTCTGTCGTTTGGGTCGTCTGTCGTCGTCTGCTAAATAGAGCGGCCAGAACTTCCGGCCGTGCTTGGTTTCGTGTGTGATTTATTGCCTTCGGTCGTTTGTCTTCTTTTTTTCTTTTTCTATTTCGCCATAGTTTTGCTTCTTTTTTTACGCATACGTCGTGGTAACGTTTTGGCGGCGCGATATGTGGGGATGAATCCGGTGCTCGCTAAAGTTACAAAATAATCGGGTCTGTGAACACTGTTGTTGAAGGGACATAGCGAATTTTCGTCGAACCCGAAAGGTCGACAAATTCGCCGAACTTCGAACCTTTGGCAAATTTGCACGACGTTCGCCTTTTGAACATTGCTGCCCAACCCAGCAGGGCGTGTCTTTGCACGCGCTGCATGCCTTCCACCGTGCTTTGTCTGGGCGCTCCGAGTACACGAGGGGGCGAAGCAAGTCGGAGGTGAAGAAGCCACAGGAAGTTGCCCGCGAGAATGTGCACTATTCCGATGTTTCCAGATGCACAACAGAGCGTGGGATCTGCTACAGCCCACAGCACGCACATGTTAAAGCCGGTTCTCACATGCAGCGAAGCGCTGATGTAGCGCTCCTCACGCGCCGTCAGCTACTTATCATCTGCCATGAACAACAGTTTTGACGGTGCGATACAAAGCTGGTGAACGCTCCCGTCAGCACGCGCTTAGCGCGAGGTAGGCGCTATGCTTGTAGCGTTCCGCTGCATGTGTGAACAGGCCTTTAGTCGCTTGTGAAGGCGAGCAAATAATGGCGGCCGCCTGAAGCTGTCTTCGGAACGGAAAGCATCGCAAAGAGAAACAGAAAGCATGACAGCAGGTTTAGCTGTGCTATTAATGACTAAAATGAGCTGGTTTAAGCAATTCTTTTTTTTTTTTTTTTGAATGATGGCGGAGTTGTGACATCGCAAATCTCAGTTCCGCTGCGATGTTGAGCTGCCGCCTGTTCTTCAATCGACACCGCCGCGGAGAAGCACCCCTTTATTTTTCAAGTTTTCGAGCCGCTTTGCGACCCTCCGCTGAAGCTATTGTTAGAGGGTCGCGACCCACAGCTTAGGGAAACACTGCGTTGCTTCTGCCATTTTCCTGTAACGTAAACCTTGTAAAGGAAGAGCGTCACGCGAATGATTAACGTGTCGTCACTCGGAAGCAGTTAGTGGGACAGCAGTTTAGAGAATGGCCCCTTACAGGCACGGAGGAAACGCAAGGTCGGCGTCCCCGGATCTGAAGCAGAGACCGGTTCGAGATAGATGGCACTAAAGGTGCTGCGCATTGGAAGTAACTAAACTTTAGTCGCCTTGGTGCTTGAAATCATGGTTGCCAGTTACCCGAAAGCTTTATCTCAAATCGCCAGGAAATGTTTTTTTCTGTCTTCCAGAAATGTTAGAACAGTTCGCGACCGAGCAAAACGATATCACGTGAGCTTCCTACCACCGTGCCGAAAGCTGAGCGAGTTGCATTTTTGAGTTGTGACGCTCGACAGTTTCGTCTGCTCTGCTCGAAGCACCAAGATGGCGGCGTCCACTACCAGATCGGGCAACGGAGTGCCCCAGTGACACTAAATAGGCTACGCTTCAAAGTAACGACACTTGGCCATATTGCGGCTAAAAATCATGGTTGCCAGTTATGTGGAATCACAGGAAACGCTTTTCCGTCCTCCACAAAATCTTTAACAGTTCGCGACAGAACAAAGCAAGATTACATGAGCTTCCTAATGCCGAAACTAATGTCGAGGAAGTCTCACTTTTGAATCATGACGATCGGCAGTTGCGTCTGCTCTGCACAAGCACCAGTATGGCGGCGCCCACAACAATGTTGGGA